ATGTCAAAGACGAGGGCCTCCTTGCAACCAGGCGGTGTGTGAATGTCCATCGCCCGGCTCGCTGAGATCATGTTCACGGTGCTCGGTGTCCTGTACGCGCTGGCACTTGTTGACACCGTAGACTGCGACGAGCTTGGGAGAGGGCCCGGGGAAACCTCCTCGACCTGGCGCACCGTGCTCTTCCCATTGCCCTTCCAAGGGCACTCGTTCTTCCAATGGCCGGGTTGCCAGCAATTGTGGCAAAGGCTTGCTTGGCCCTTGCCTTTGCCATCCTTGCTGCCCTTGCCTTTGCCGTCCTTTCCCTTATAGTCCTTGCCATTCTTGCCCTTGCCGGTGCCGTTGCCATAGTCCTTGCTATACCATTTTCCACCGCCTTTGCTCCAATCATTCTTCCCAGTCTTGCCCTTCTTGCCTTTGCCGTCCTTGCCTTTGTGGTCCTTGCCTTTGCCCTTGATCCGGTCCACGTCCATGGGCTGTGGCTCGTCCTTGCCGAGCTTCGCCTTTGTGGATCCGCCCAGCACAGCCGACGACCAAGGCGCGTTCAACGACTCGTACTGGAGAACCCACTCGCGGATGTCGCTGTACTTTGTCTTGCCTGTGAGCCGGAGTTGCACTTGGCTGCGAAGCGGCTCCTGGAGCCCCATAACCACTGTAGCCAACGACATCTCTGAAGGAAACGCTTCCCCCGATGCCTGCTCATACTGCTTCAGCGCCTCCTCATACTGGATGAGCTGCTCATAGAGGCCTTGGTTGCCCTTGAACTCCCACGCCGCAAGCCTCCGCATCAACGCAAGAGTTCTCGTCTTCTCCCTAGGTTCCATCTCTCGCCGAAGCATTCGAAGCGCCTCTAGCCCCTCTTTGGTTGAGTCAAAGGCCCGGACAATAAGAAGAGGCCGGCCCTTGACCAGCGAACAAAGCACAGCGTAGAGTCGCTGGCTTCGAGCCAGCATAGCATCGTCCATCAGCTCGCTGTCCACGGGGGTGTCCACGTCTATCTCCTGGAGGTCCTTTTCATACGCTGGCTCCACAGCCAGCAGCCAAGTAGAAAACTGTAGCCACCACTCGCGCCATGTCTTTAGCTCCTCTTCCCGGTTTGCTGGCCTCCACACCTCGCACTTGATGCTCTTGAGGATCGCCTCGCTCTTGGTGACAGTCGCCTGGGCCTCTGCTGCTGCTGCTGTCCTTTCCGTGGTTTGCAGCAGCCGCCCAAACACTCCATTCATAGCTTGCTCCAACCGCCTCCTGACGATCAAGTCCACTTGCTGCTCCATTGGAACAGCTGCCGCCGCTGCTGCGGCTGCGGCCGCCGATGCGGCTGCCCCATTGCCTGCTGCCTGTTGTTGCTGCTGCTGGCCTGGCTGGCCATTGCTTGCTTGAGCTTCCATTGTCCCTGGATCGTAACCAAAACTCCTCCCGGTAGAAGGTCCTGTTCCAGCAAGACGAAACCTGCCAGTCGCTGCCCCACTTGTGAGAATACCCGAACCACCTGCTTTGCACCACCACGCTCTGCTTGCACCACCTGAGCTGAACCACCACGCTCTGCTTGCACCACCTGCGCTGCACCACCACACTTTGCTTGCACCACCTGCGCTGCACCACCACGCTTTGCTTGCACCAAAACCTGCCACAAAGGGCTCCGGAAAACTGGTGGCGAGGGCCGCGCTGAAGAAAAGGATTAGGAGTAGGCAACCGAGGCTGCAGCTTCTCCGAAAGGCAGAAAAGAATATGTGGTGAAACTGAAGAGGGCCCCTAGGCTGGGGCGTTGGACCTTCTACCGGTAGGGAGCCCGAGGGCTCCGCTACCATGAACTTCTTTTCCCACGTGATTTGAGGGCTGCGGTATGCATGTCAGAAGCAATGCTTTCATATGCGGAACATGCCCCTCGGGAGTGCAACTGTACTAACAATATTTATACATATACATATATATACATGTGCATGGACCCGTATACACAGTATACACGTATATGCATGTGTATATATATATATATACATATATATATATATATATATATTTATGCATATATATATATATATATATATATTAGACACACGTGCGTGATTCGCACGCACTTAGTGTCGGCCTCGTTAAGTACTGATAGTTCCCTTTTGTTCTGTACACTTGAAATGCTAGAGGGATGCTAATTCGGCAGAGCACGCTGGTTCTTACTTTTCTGCTTGGCGTCCGCCGCCTTCCGCCCGCCCCTGCATTTCGCCCGCCCCTCTCCGCAAGCGCGCGCTGCTTCGGACTCCAGGCGCAGCATTTGGTGGCCCGCTCCACCCCCGAGGGCGCTTGGGGACCGCGCTTGGGGACTCCTAGCAGGCGCGCACTTAAAAATTTCCAGCACACGCATAATGCTCTAAAGCTTACTACGGATTAGGGTTTAGGGGCCTGTGGGACTTTCGGGCTTTGTGATAAGGCACATCGCAAATGAGCTCAAAACAGTTATGCTTCATGCTTTGCCGTCCCGTGCGTGCGCGCCGTCTCGTCCGTGTCGTCCTTGCGTCCTGCATGCTCTTCCCCCCGTTGTGGCTCACGCCTCACCCATTCACTTTTCTCGCTTACCTTTGCCTCATTTGCTCTCACTCCCGCTGTTTCTGGAATTGCTGCCAACCCTTTCACTAACATGCGCATGTGGGGTTATCCGGTCCTTGAATTTGTGCTTGGGTTTGGGGTTCAGGCGTTTAATGGGGTTTAAGGGTCCACTCCAGGAGTGTAGCGTACGCCAGCAGCTGTGAATGTTGGGTGCGGTCAGGGGGGTGGCTCGGGGCTAGCAGGGGGAAGGGGGGCCCTGGCAGACCTCGCCAATTTTCCGAAAACGGGCAACAAGTTTTTGGGAAGGCAGGCTGTGGGTGGGACTGCCCTACAGAAAGCCCAAATCCATTGGAGGAGGCCCCGAAACCAACGGGGAGGGGGGTCCTATCTGTTTATAAATATATATATATATATATATGTCGTGTACATTGTATAATATATATATATATATGTCGTCTACACGATAATATATATATATATATATAGAGAGAGAGAGAAAGAAAGGGAAAAAACTGTTGACCTTTAACGTCAAAGCCAAGGAGCCCAAATCTCGAAGTTCAAGCCCGACTTTCGACCGACTCGGCCCGTGCAGCCTCAACTCCGCGAGGGCCCCTCTTTTGATATGCGCCCTGCGCCCTCCGCTTTCCTTTTCCACGCCTGAGAAGACGGCGGCCAAGTAGATCGCCGTCAAGAGCAAAGTGTGGTAGGTGGCGAAGCGCATCTTGGCAGAGCGACACGTGATCTGATTTCAACACGAGCAAGCCCTTTTTTTTGTGTGACCCAACATGACACTGCCCCTACCGACTGTCTCTTCTTCCGAGGAACGTCGTGTGCGGTATAGAGGCCGAAGAGGCGGGGCCGAGGCTTCGCCTCCACGCAGGAAGGAGCAAACGGAGACTGACGACACACCTATCCAAGCGCCTGGGGCGCCCTCCAGCAACAATACTTCCGCGCAGCCACGGCCATCAGGGCGGAAACGAACAGCACAAGGCAAACACCTCCAACTTTGTCATGAGTATGGGTCAGGCTTTGTGGGCAGATGGCTCGGCTATGCGCAGCTCTTGCATGGCCTGGCCCAACTTGGATTGTCTCCGGGAGTCTATGATGCCACCGAGCGACTACCAGCCTGCAGGCATCGCTGCCGCCAGGCTTCCTGCGGAGTTTTCACATCCGAAGTCAAGTGTCGGCCACGCGTCGCTGCGACATCCAAAGCGCTACTGCGGATTGGGGTTCAGGGTATATATTCTTGGGAGGCTTTGTGCTGTTGGGCTTAAGACTTAGGGCCCGAAACCCCGCAAATGTGAGCACAGCAGCAGCTCGGAGATCCGCCTCTGAAGCATGCTGCAGCTGCGTTGCAGTTGGAAAAGTGCCGAAGGCAACACTCGTCATCGGCTCATGGGGAGTGCAACAATACGGCAAGGGCTGTCGGAAACATTTAGTTCGACGTAGAACAACTGCCGTTCAAACAGGCCGTCAAACATTTGCTCATGTGTCCTGTGCGCTTGGTGCTCGGAGCCACAGCTGGAAGGGATGCTGCGGAGCCTAGATTCTAGTCTTGGCAAGGCAATTCGAGAAACCACCTCAAGATATATGAAACACGACAACGATCGCGGGTGCTTCTTCTGTAGCCGGACTGCTGGCGCAATCTGGAATCAAGAGAGACTGCTTTCTACCAGATGATTTCGGAAGTCGTGCTCCCGAACTAGCTGAACCCCAAACCAAAAAAGCAGAATCCTCTAAACCCCACTCCCTTCAACACTCCCTAAGCCCTGAACCCCACCCTAAACCCTAAAGCCGACATCCCGCAGTCGGCACATGTCGGAGGGGCGGAGGGAGGTCGGTGGCTACCGCTCCGCCGCTACCCGCCGACCTGGGGTTTAGGGTTTAGGGTTTAGGGTTTAGGGATTCAGGCTTTAGGCTTGAGGGGTTGGGATTTAAAGAATATGGGCTGAGGTTTGGACAGGGGACTGGGGAAAGAGTGGTCTTCTGTGACACATACACTTGTACGCTACACTGCAATACAGGAGCCGAGAGTAGTGGCTACCATAAGCTGCCAAACGGAGATGTAAGTATAGTACCAATCCGAATCAGCACCTCCCAGTGATGGAAGGAGCAGTGCGGAATGAACAGCTCACCGTTGGACCACGGCGGCTAACTTGCTATTTCACCAGAAGTCGACTCCCAAGGATTTGAAGGCAATGGCCAGAAACCTCATTGAGCTTGAATAACAGATGTATCTCAACAACATATGTACAACTGCGTCATCCTAGACCATCCTGTAGCGTGCTGCCCAAACACGTAAATTGAACACAAGGGAGTGGCAAAAAAGAACTAGGCTCGGATGCAGAAGCTACTTGTAGCAGCTTGTAACATGAGTGGACAAGGTCCGCCCCAGCTGGCGGTTCCAGGTTCAAGGTTGAAATCCGAGTATTCCGCAAGTCGAGATGCGTAGCGGCTCAGGCTACTTCAACGCGAGTATACGGACCGGCTTCACTGGATTCAGAGATGACCCTCCTTGACCTTCCTCCAGTTCCTGCAAGAGTCACTGAAAATTACCCTCGAGATACCTCACAGCTCAACTGAAGAACTGTAGATCCTGTTGAACTTCAAGCGTCCGGCGGGTGCAGTTAAGCTGCTAAGGTCGAAGGCTAAGCCTGCATTTCAGTCCACAATCCGGAAGCTTCATGCAAATCTGTTTGACACCAACTGTCGAACGCTCACTTCTTCCGACTACGCGAACTGGAAGGGAAGCAATGGATGGGAGAGGATTGCAAAACCCCCAGTCAGTCCGGCCAGAAGAACATATTCGATAAACCTGACATACTGCATCCCTCAACCCCTACATGCTCTGAACCTGAACCTTGTACGTTGGAGCCCGAAACACTTGAATCGTGGCCTTCGGAAAACAGCATGAGCGGAGCTGCAAGCTACGGCTGTGCAAGAAGCTTTGTGGCAAGCGTTAAAGCTGTGGATTCCAGCCCGGAAGGGCGACAAGCAGTTGCAGCGGAGCAACACAACAGACAAATGTGGAACTAAGCAAAATTTTCTTTAGCTGCTTGGAGCTAAGCCAAAACTTTGCACGAGCAACAAAAGACAAGCAATTGCGCACGCAAACTTTTGCCCTTTTCTTTCACAAAAACATGACCTGGGGAAGGGTGCAGGTAAACCCGGTGCTAAACCACAAAACCTTTGCTGCTTTCGGTGGAACCTTGGACGCTAAGTCAAAAAGGATCTCGTCACCCAATGTTGCTTTGACTCGCTGTGTCTAACATCCGAAAAAGACGGAACTACAACCAAGCTCCAGCAAAACTGGCTTTTGGAAACCCTTCAAACCGATAGAAGCGGCTTTCTTGCCATAAAGCTTCCACTCTCGCTCGTAGATCTTCTCCTACAGCTTCAGCTTGGACACGTCTCGTAGGCATTTCTAAGATCCTAAAGATGGACCTTTGAGGTACTACTAGACTTCTCTAAAAACGTCCGAAAGCAAGAAAACCTACAGAGACTACAGCCTAAAGAGAAAAGTGCTCTCTCACACTCCAAGTAAAAGGAAACTAGCTGTAACCTGTTCTGGTTTCTACAAACTCAAAAGAGTTAAGCCGGACGCCCACCTTTATCTCTCAGACAGGGTTTTCTTCTTTGCAAACGAGTTACTGCCCTTCGACTTGGGTGAAACTCAGCTAAGACCGCTGTTTTAGCGGTCCAGAAAGCGCTTGCTTCTTTTCTCACCAGCATCACCTCCGTACTGATGGCTGGTCCGTAGACCAGCTTCTAGCAGCAGTTACTCTCCAGCCGGGCTGGTGTCTACTGGTAGTGTGGACCTGAAAGTCCAGGGCAGCACTTTGGCTCCTAGATAAGCCAGCTTTTGCCAAGCTCCAGGTCTTGATTCTCTAGTAGTGGAGACTGCCTCTGACGACCTTCCGAAGTGAGCTCCAGCACCTGTGTTTGGATCAGAATGTGTCTCAGGTATCTGCTTTAAACCTTCTTTCGGCCAGTGTGCACACGTGAAGGTCAAGGCGCGGGCCATATTTTAGAAACCTTGGGCACGAGTCCGGTTAGAAAAGTCCGGTCTTTGTTTAGGGCCATACATGCAGCTTTCGGCCGTTACAGTCCAGACACAACTGCGCGGAAAGCTTCTAGCATATGATGTCTTTTCACATTTTTCACCTTCAAGATCTTGGCGATTAAGCACAAAGTGAAAAGAGCTTGGATGACCAGAAAGTCGGAAAGCTCCGGAAAAGGATCCAGTTTCTGGTAAGGAGCCACCGCCACGATTTTGGACCCTCCAAGGCCCAACACCTGCAGGGCGCACTGGTAACACCAGCTTTCCCCCCGCTGTGTGTGTAGGTGACCCGGAGCTCCGTTTTTGCGCGAGTAATAAAGCTTTACATCCTTGCACATCTTAACCACAAACTGCATCGTCTGCGCGTAGTCCGTCTTAGGCTCTTTCCTCGGTATTGCGTCTCTTGGAGCCGTACCGTTGGTGTCCTCCTCTCTAGGTGTTTCAACCAGTTCTCCAAAACTGATTTCCCTGGAAGCTCCTCTTTTACTTGTGAGACTAAGTTCACCATGTCATCCTTGCTGTCCTCAGCCTTTTATTTCATTTTCTGGTTAATATCAGGTATCATGATTTCTGGCGGAGGCACCTTGGATTTGGCAACACTGAAAGTGCCATCCGCCCTGTTCTTTTCTGGTTATAACTAAAAGCCGACCTTGGCTTAGACTTCTTTTCCAGCTCTTTTGCAGAACTGGCTCCACCACTCCTAGTCATCGCCAGAGCTAGGCCTCTGTACGGCCTCGACACTGCATCTAGGTCGCTTAGTGGCTGTAGTGCCTGCTGTGTCTTTAGCAGAGCCTCGCTGGCGTTTCTTGGCCGCTGCTCTTACAACTGCCACAAACTTTTCACGTTTGCCAATATCCTCGACTTCGGCAGCTCCTCATACGTGGAGTACGAGTAGTCGTCCGTCTCTTGTCTTGACTTGGCTGCCGCCCTGGTTTCAATTGAGGCTGTGCCTCCACCAGGAGATGCTTCCTGGCAGCGGTGTAGCCGCACCCTTGCCCTGGTTAGCACCAGGGTTTTTTCCTTCTCCTTTTCTACTCCAAGAAGACCTGGGGTCCTTTTTTTTGGCAGGGGTTTCGGGATTTCGGGTTTAGGATTTATAGGACTGCCAGGTCAGAAGACTTTTTGCTGATTCGCAGACTGTGCTGGCCTCATGCTGCATCTAGCTCAAGTTTTGAAGGGATTAGCTTTAAGGAGCATTTGTCAACACCCGTGACGGCTTTCGCATGCCCTGTGGATCAACCCCGCCCTTGTCATAGGCATCCCAATCGATTTGCAAGAATTTCACGCCCTCGGTGGAGATTAGCTGCTGAGTCCCGGGCAATTTCCAAGCGACGCTCTTCTTCGGGTGCTCGATTACGAAGAACGCAAACTGGAGGATGGCAATGTTAGCTAGTTCTAAGCCCGATCCCAACATGCATTTTCGTGGACGACCTCGGGGTGGCTCGCATCGCCCTCGGGCTCATCATGACGCCGGCCAAAACTCCCGCCGTCCGCCGCAGGATACCTGAGAAAGGTGCGGCGCGGTGGCGCCATACAAGCCCAACACAAAGTGCCCTCGGTGAACAGCTGGGTCACCCACCCACTCATCAAAGGCATCATTGCCCCAGCTCAGCCCGATGGGCTCCCTCATTTCCAATCCCTTCGCATTGATCGCGGCGGTCAATCTACCGGAGCTGGCAAACACCTCCACTCCCAATAGGCCTGGTGCCGCACCGCCCCGAGCAGGTACTCCAAGTCGTAGAAGCCACCTAGGAGCAGGCAAAGGAGCAGGAAGAGGTCGAAAGCGTGAGGGGCAGTCTGCAATGTTCACCGCGGTCTCTACCCACAATAACGAAAGGGAAAACCCCGATAAAACCAAATGTGGAGTCATAGCCCTAAGGATCCCGTTCAACTTCCGGCTGCTACT